GGGTAACGATTCCTAGTTCAATCCCTTGACCGTGAGTCAAAGGCCCTCTCTAATCATTCAAAAGGGAATGCAAAAGGGCAAACGCTCTGAATTGACTGCTCCCAAATGCCCAGTGCATCAGTGCAGCGCAGTCTCTATTTCGCTTGTGCTGACTCAAGAATGCGCCATGCCATTGACACTGTTCACTGACTTCTGAACTGTTATACATAATGTGCCAGTGGTCTGTACCTACCCAGACGTTGTCTGTGACTACCTATTTCCGTCTCAGACTTGTTGAAACCTATGGGAATTTGTACAAACTAGGTCCAGTCCCGATCTCCTGCGCTCTGAACCAGTACCATTTGAGAGCCTGGCTTATAGGGACTCATAAAGAGGTAGTAAAAGCAAAGTTCTTCCGACACGTCCGCAAAGTGTCAGATAGCCTAACGACCTCGGCGATTCAGTAAAAGCAAAGTTCTTCCGACACGTCCGCAAAGTGTCAGATAGCCTAACGACCTCGGCGATTCGGTGCAAATCACGCTTAAACATTCACCAAATCTAATTTTTATTGAACTATGACGTCATAGTGGGAGATAATTTAAACGTCACCTCCTATCGGGTTTTCACCCTCTGAAATTCAATAGATTTCTTCTTGCAGCATTTCTTGGCGCATATCTTACATTCTTTGAACCAAACGATCTACTAGATACCTTCCCTATCAAGAAGTTTTCTACTCTTATGCTACATGCTGATTTGTTCTATTTCCAATTAGTATCTGAGGAAGTAGCTCCCATGGGTATGATCTGTTAATCTCGTGAGAAATCTTAATGAGCTCGACCAAAGTTCGATGGGAAAAACCAGCAAAACTAGAATAGCTCTCAAAGTTGTGAGCGAATCAAAGTTAAAATTTTGAATTTGATGTCAAAATATTTACCTTTCAGAAGTTCCATCTCTGGTTTCGTTGAGAGAAAAGGAGCTGGAGGAGTTTAAANAAAGGGGCAAAAATTTCTGCCGAGATTGTATATATATACCTATTCGCTAGATTCTTTATGGAATATACTTGAAATTATTGGAAACGTATATGACAAAGCTATTTCGTTCTTCGAAACTCAGTGGTTAGACAGTTTCGATGATCAAACCCCTGATTACCTTCTCAAATTGAAGCTTTCAAACTCTAAACTTAATCAAGTTCCCATCTCAACTCCTTGGTTGAAACCTAGCTGACTTCGAGGGCATGGTTGCTTCCAAACAAGACCGCTTTGTTAGAGAACCAGCAGCTCTGCTTTTTCTCAGACATCAGTTAAAGCTTACCGCATTCTCTTCGATATAACCATGTTATTTTATATTTATGTCAATTTTCGGCCTTATTTATTTGGTTATTTATTTATTTAGTCTACACTAATTCCCGGTGAACAATATATTAAAATCTGAATATTGTCTGACTGAGTGTTTTACTAAGTGCTCATTACTGTTGCTGATCAGAATTCATGGGTCTTGGTCCGAATCCCTTCAAAGTTCTATCCTTGACTTACCCTTCTCTGGGGAAAAATATGTCTCAGACATAAATTGGGTCATTCAATCGAGTCTGTTTATTAATTAGAGTTGAATACACGGCTTATCCCAATGTGAATCCGTTCAAAACCGTAGTTGTTATTTTTTATTTTGATTGACTTTTGTGAATAGAACAACAAAACCAACAAAACTTGAAGGCACGGTTTACGATAAAAATGCTCACTGAGTTCTTCCCTTAGGAATACTTAGTGGCCCCCATGGCTGGTAGAGGGGACCCTCTCGCTCACACAAACTTCACGATTAGGGCATGTTGGAAACCCTGTTGCTGCCGTAAGTGGCTTTCCCGCCTCTTAATCGATGACACTTCAGACGAGTGTCGAGTCAATACAATTGCTATAATTCGTTCTAGGACCCACACACAATCAGCTGATCGCCGAGTGATGAGGCGATGTTTTTCTCCCATTCTTTTTTCCTCTAATATTCTTTTTGCTGCCGCAATCCCTTATTTCATTTCCTGCTTCTAGAGGCTTAAAAAGGTAAGCTATTCGTGCTGTTACTTGGATTTTTTGTTTACTTATGCTTATAAGTGAATGAATTTTTACTTACCGTAG